TTTCTCTCTCTCTCTCCCTCACTGTTTCTTTCTCTCTCTCACTCTCCTGGCTATGCGCTATGCCTGACGATGGTTCGGTTCCTCCCCCTTGTTTTATGCTCTGCGCGCTAGTAGCCACTTATATAATTAGAAATTATGATTAGCACCCAGCTCCTTCCTCGAACCACCGAATAATGGTAAGCCGCAGAAAACCAATAGGTAGACGAAGAAATGTGGCATTCCGGATTGAGCAGCTGACTTGTTTCTGCTATACAGCCTGGTCCGTCTAAATATATATGTATTTTTATATTTATGAAAGATCCCACCTGTCTCAGATCATGGTAGATCCATGGCCAACCCTTCCTCCTGACCTGTAGGTAGTCACCAAACTTTGATGACCCTTGCAGCACCCCTCTTGAGTTCCTTCATAACCATACATCCTTTTTAAAAAAACGTACCGGCAATTGTTTAGAAGATATATATGATTAAACATGATTACCCTTAGCGTCTGAGTACTGATAGCACCCCGGTACTCTGAAACCGCGTATCATCTTTGGCCACATGAACCATCCATTGCCTAAAGGGTAGGGCTGTTCATAACATTAGAGGAGTCCATGAACCACATATTGAAGTAAAACCCCAGAGCTCTCTATTCTCTAGGAAGGACCTCCGCATCGCGACCTACAGCATCCGCCCCGTGCCAGGATTCCGGAGTGTGCCGGCCAAGCTAGTGTCGGAGCTCAACCATCCACAGTTAAAGCGTGGTATGGCGTGCGTAACATTCACACACCCAAAACACACACGCGCGCACACACACACACACACGCACAGACACAAATGAAAAAAAAAAAGAAAATGTGGCAGTGTATATTTCCATGTTCTAGTCCAAGATTCATTCCGATTTTGCTCATCCTATCCATCGACGTAGCCTCTCTCTATCTCTCTGCGCGCATGGCTGGAATGCAGTGTATATTTCCATGCTTTTGATGGAAGTAGCCACTCTCTATCTCTCGGTGTGCATGGCTGGAAAACTCTCTCTCTCTCTCTCTCTCTCTCTCTCTCTCTCTCTCTCTCT